TCTCGATCTCTTGACCTCGTGATCCACCCGCCTCGGCCTCCCAAAGTGCTGGGATTACAGGCGTGAGCCACCGCGCCCAGCTACTCATTTATTCTTTACCTGATAAACATGTCATAGGCATTCCTCCAGGTTAATATGTCATCTCTCTCTTTCTTTTTTTCATATAGCCATGTAATATTCCAGAAAATGGAAGTCCTGAAATTAAATTAATAACTTTCCCATTGATGAACAGTGGGTGGCATCATCTTTTCAAGATGTTAGTCAGACCATGACTCTTTCCTCCATAGGCTTTCCTTTTCCTGTGGAATAAGAGCTGTGTTTCCTCTCTACAAGGGCCTGAATAATCTGGCCCTTGCCTTTCTTTTTATTTATTTATTTATTTTTGAGACAGAGTCTCACTCTGTTAGCTCAGCCTTGAGTGCAGTGGTGCGATCTTGACTCACTGCAACTTCCACCTTCTGACTTAAGCGATTCTTATGCCTCAGCCTCCCAAGTAGCTGGGACTACAGGTATGCACCACCATGTCTGGCTGATTTTTGTATTTTTAGTAGAGATGAGGTTTCACCGCGTTGATCAGGCTGGTCTCAAACTCCTGACCTCAAATGATCTACCTATCTTGGCCTCCCAAAGTGCTGGGGTTATAGGCATGAGCCACCATGCCCCGCCTGGCCCTTGTCTTTCTCTAAATTAACCTCATGCCACCCTTCCCCTTGCTCACCATAGTCCATACACACCTGGTGAGCTGGGGGTTTTTTGTTTTGTTTTGAGATGAGGTCTTACTCTGTCACCCAGGCTGGAGTACAGTGGCACAATCTTGGCTCACTGCAGCCCCAACCTCCTGGGCTCAAGCCATCCTCCCACCTCAGCCCCCTGAGTAGCTGGGACAACAGATGTGTGCCACCACGCCCAGCTTATTTTTTGTTTTTTTTTTTGGTGGAGGCAGAGTTTTGCCAGGTTGCCTAGGCTGGTCTCGAACTCCTGGGCTCAAGTGATCTGCCTGCCTCTGCCTCCCAAAATGCTGGGATTATAGGCATGAGTCACCATGCCCAGCTGTGGTGAGGTTTTTTTGTTCATTTTTTGAGATGAAGGTTTAGGTCTTGTTGTCCAGGCTGGAGTGCAGTGGCGTGATCTCGGCTCACCGCAACCTCCATCTCCCAAGGTTCAAGCAATTCTCCTGCCTTAGCCTCCTGAGTAGCTGGGATTATAGGTGCCTGCCACCACACCTGGCTAAGTTATTTTGTATTTTTAGTAGAGACAGGGTTTCACCATGTTGGCCAGGTTGGTCTTAAACTCTTGACCTCAGGTGATCCATCCGCCCTGGCCTTCCAGAGTGCTGGGATTACGTCATAAGCTACCGCACCCTGCCTGTGGTCAGGTTTTTTTAAACCATCTCCTGTCTCTGCATATTCTCCATTCTTTTTTTTTTTTTTTTTTTTGAGACGGAGTTTCACTCTTGTTACCCAGGCTGGAGTGCAATGGCGTGATCTCAGCTCACCGCAACTTCCACCTCCTGGGTTCAAGCAATTCTCCTGCCTCAGCCTCCTGAGTAGCTGGGACTACAGGCGAGTGCCACCATGCCCAGCTAATTTTTTTTTGTATTTTTAGTAGAGATAGGGTTTCGTCATGTTGACCAGGATGGTCTCGATCTCTTGACCTCGTGATCCACCTGCCTTGGCCTCCCAAAGTGCTGGGATTATAGGCGTGAGCCACCATGCCCCGCCTATTCTCCATTCTTAACCTGGTAAAGACTACCCTCTTCTCCCCACCAACCTAAATTAGGCTCTCCTCTTAAACTTTCTTATAACATCCTATAAATGTCTTCTTAGTACTCATGACCAGTTGTAATCATATATATGAAATTCTATTTACATACTTATATTTATTTATATGTATGATTATTTAATCTCTGCTTTTTCTACTAGGCGTTATGCTCTATGAGGACAGGGACCATGTTTTGCTGACCACTGTTTTGCTATACCACCAGCATTGAGCACAATGCCTGAAGGTAAGATATATTTATTAAGTGAAGAGAGAGGTTCCACACTGAGGAATCGTTAGGTAAGCAAAACAGTACAACTGAATGTTTTTTGCTTTGTTTTGTTTTGTTTTGAGACAGATTCTCACTCTGTTGCCCAGGTTGGAGTACAGTGGCATGGTCATGGCTTACTGCAGCTTCGACTTCCAAGCCCAAGTGATCCTCCCACCTGAGCCTCCCAAGTAGCTAGAACCACACAGGCAGGCACCAATATGCCCAACTGTTTTTCAAATTTATTTTTATAGAGACAGAGTCTCCCTAGGTTGTCCAGTCTGGCCTTAAACTCCTGGGCTCAAACTGTCCTCCCACCTCAGCCTCCTAAAGTTCTAGGATTACAGGCATGAGTCACCACACCTGGCCCAATTTAATGTTAACTTTTTTTTTTCAGATGGAATTTTGCTCTTGTTGCCCAAGCTGGAGTGCAATGGCGCAATCTTGGTTCACTGCAACCTCCGTCTCCCGGGTTAAAGCAATTCTTCTACCTCAGCCTCCCAAGTAGCTGGGATTATAGGCGCTACAGGCGTTGCGGGCGCATCCCACCACGCCTGACTAATTTTTTGTATTTTTAGTAGAAATAGGGTTTCACCATGTTAGCCAGGCTGGTCTCAAACTCCTGACCTCATGTGATCCATCTGCCTCAGCCTCCCAAAGTGCTGTGAGCCACTGCGTCCAGCAACTTTTAAAATTATTTGAGAATGAAGTGTTACATACATAAGTCTATATAAAAGTATACATACACACATGCATACATAAACATATGAAAATTGGCAATGTAGTATAGTAAAAGTATTGGCCTGAGATGGTAGTGACTCTCACAATTAGTGACCTAGAAACTGTCACCTTTACTGTCAGTCTCAATACAGGGGTGGCATTGCCCCCTAGTGTTGGATATTTTATTTATAAGTGCTAGCAAACCCTGACTTGACTGTTTCTAGAATAGTCATGCTGAGCATTTATACATTGAAATACAAATGATTTTATTATAAATTCCTTTCTTTGTACTATTTATATTATAAATAGAACATCATTTTGATTTAAGATGAAATAATGTATATAGGTAAGTTACATACCTATGAATTTCATTTTAGGCTAATAAAGATCATATTATAAAAACATTTATTAAAAAAAGGAATGTTGGGTAAGATAAGATTGTCACTGGATTAGGTGATGCTTAAGATCCCTTCCAGTTTTTATTGTGATTATTCTAATCTTTCATAATGGGAAGGTTTCTTATTTTGTTCATTATTTTGTTTATATTCCACTATAAAATCGGTAATATATGTAATAAAAATAAACACGTATTTTAAGTAAAAACGTCTACCATATTGAATATTTAGGTATTTAATTACCTAACGGAAAATCCAAATAATTTCCCAAGTTTCCTTGCTAGGTAAGGATTTCATGATTCTATAATTTCAAACTTTTGGTAAAATGTGACTTCATTATATATTTTAATTTTTACCCAAATAATTGTTGCCTCTAGGTTTGATCGTGAGGAAACTGAAACCCAGAAAACTAAAGTATTAAGAGAATGAGGCTGGGCGCGGTGGCTCATGTCTGTAATCCCAGCACTTTGAGAGGCCGAGGCAGGCGGATCACCTGAGGTCAGGAGTTTGAGACCAGCCTGGCCAACATAGTGAAATCCCGTCTCTACTAAAAATACGAAAATTAGCCGGACGTGGTGGTACGTGCCCGTAATCCCAGCTACTCGGGAGGCTGAGGCAGGAGAATCGCTTGAACCAGGGAGGCGGACGTTGCAGTGAGCCCTCCAGCCTGGGTGACAGAGCTAGATTCCACCTCAAAAAAGAGAGAAAAAATGAGGGCTTCTCATTATGAAATTAAGTTCGTAGATTTAAAATTGCAACTTATTTCTCTACTCCCCTTCCTAAGTTTTTAAAATAGGTTATGACATACATTTTAATCATGTATTTTTGAAAATAATGCTTCCCTTCTCCTCTCCCTCATCCCAACACACCCACTAGAATGGGGACAGGGAATTTTGTCAATTTTGCTCACCATTGTGTATAGAAGAGTACCGGGCAGCCGGGAGGAGTTCACTGAGTATTTGCTGTATGAATGGGTGAAGAACACATGCAATAAGCAAAAATTACTGCTTCGAGTGCCACTTCCACCAGAGTTCTGGGAGGCAAACGGGAGCTACCAGTACATTGACTGACTTTTGTGACTGAAGATTCCTGGGTGCTTACAGGGACTGCGGCTGCATTCATTGTTCTTGGGGATGTGCCGACGTGTGTAGTTTGTGTACTTGCACACAGCTGTGCTGGCACCGAACTAACATTAATTTGCACCGAGGTCCGAACGTTCTCAAATTCACATCAACAGAAGCACGTTATTGTAAGTACACAGGCCTTCCGTTCTCCTGTGCAATCTGCACAGAACAATTTAGGTTATTTCTTCACTGGAGATTTTACAGTGAGGAAGGGATCAAGGGTGGTGGCCCTAAATGCGCAAAGGACAGGGAAATGAATTAAACAGGCATCTGTTTGTTCCTTGCTCGCAAACAAACGCCAAGTCTGTGTAAAATTCTCACCCTAGATCAAATCCCGCGCTCTGTGTACCCCCAACCTGCCTCCACCTCTATCCCGCCGCGTTTAGATATTTCTGGTGGGCGGGGCAGAGAAGAAACATTCCGGGCTCCCCGAAAAATTGTTTAGCCTCGTCCCAGTTTTGGAGTTGCACATTTCCACAACACCGAGGACACGGAATCACTAGCGAAAGCAGCCGACCAAATGACATTGAAGCAGCATACGCGCTCAGAGAAGGAAGGAAAACACGAAGAAAGCCAGCAGTCCAGCAGCCACGTGAGGTGGGCGATCCCCCTCCGCCCTCTGAGAGAGGACTTCAACTCCCGGCGTGCCTCTGGGCGGTTACCCTCCGAGGACTCCAACTCCCAGGATGCTGCGGGAGCGACCGCCGCAACCTCCCACTCAGCCGCCCGCCGCTCCTGCCGCCCCTCCCCCGCCCCGCCTGGCCGATCGGCGTGCGCCTGCGCACGGGAGGCCGGAGGAGTCTTACCCTAATGTAAGATGGTGGCCCGTCTGGCTGTGGAACCCACCGAAAGCTGAGAGTCTCCCTCTCAGCCGTAAAGGTCGGACTCGCTGAAGCAATCAGGCCCGGTGCTGAAGAGTTTTTTCCCCGACGCTCGTTCGGTGGTTTCTTGTGAGGACGCGGCAGCGCGTGGAGTCGGCTGAGGGAAAAGCGAGGCAAGGCAGGCGGGTGAGTCTATGCGGGGCTGGGCTTAGGGGAAACCCGGGGCTGACCGGCTACGAGAGAGCGGAGGCTTCTCTGGGACTGTACAGGCCGCACCCCCCTTTCTCCCCACCCCCCGCCTCATCTTCACCCTCCTCCTCCTCAGTCTTCTTCCTCCTTTTCCTCCTTCTCCCCTTTACGCCACAGCAGTTACCATCAGGAAAAGGGAGCGGGTCAGAAGGCAGCGCGGCGGCAAGCCGCGACTCTCCTTCGAGAATTTCTTTAATTGGGGAGCCGAGGCGTCTTTTGGTCTCCAGCTTTTCCTCCTACATTTTTATAGAGGCTGGATTCTTAGGTCTCAGTCCTCCCTGTTTCCCCAACCCCCTTTTGCCTGTCTGACGTCCTTTCCCACTGGCCCCCGTCTCTCTAGACCAAAGCCATCACTTCCACTCTGACCCGTGTTGCTACTGCTGCTCATTAATCCCGCTGCTCATTGCCCACTCGTCCTGCTGCTTGTTTTTTGCTCCACTGCTACCACTCTGGAGTTAGCCTTTGCCCCCCCTCTGGTGCTTGCAATCAGCCCACAGTGTATCTGCCACACTAGAGCTTCTTCCGATTTGCAGTCTTTCCTTCTACCACATCTGTCATCTTAAAGCTGCCCCTTAAGTATCTAGATTATGCTCCTGCTCCTGCTAACCCACCTGTTTCTCAGCCTTCTTGAGAATTGTCGGTTCCTTCCCTCTTTCTTATACAGATCCTTTCAACATACACTTCCAGAAAAAGGGATGCCCTGTGGTGGCCCTTGAAAAGTAAAGGAAGTTGGGAAGTGAATGAAGTGAGGTAGGATACTATTAAACGTTATGAGTAAAGATCTTTTATTCAGGCTACTCAGGAGAGGAACGTTTTCGTTTTGCTTTCAGTGATCTATTTGTCGCTTATTCGCTCTGTTGTGTTAGGACGTGGCTTCTTTCTTTCCTTCTTTTCATTTTGGAGCGGTTTTACCATGCTACTAAGCGTTCTTTGGATTGCCTCTCCCCAGGACACTTAGTGTGGGCTCTGATTTATACCAGTAAATATTAACCCAAGCATTTCAAAATAAGAGAAATCTGGCGCACATACAGAATTCATCTGTGAACTCCCCTAGCAAATATAAGTGGTATTTTGATTGCATGTGGGTTATATGTGGGTTCTGTATTGAGACTTGATTTTCGACTGAGTTTTATTGATGTTCAGCTTAATTGATGACATTTTATTTATGATTGGAGTGGAAATTTCCTCTCTAGTTAATATCAGATTTAGTTATTTTTGGATTTGGGAAGTTCTGTTGACATTTGTAGGATGATAGTTATCTTAATAAATTGTCTTCTCTTGAAAATCCATTCGATATGTATGCAAAAGAAAAATCCATATTTTTATGTAAACCTAAGTTCCTCGTATTTTTTCTGTAGAAAAGAAGGGCTGAGAAAGGAATGACAAAGCTGTGCGCATACATGCATTTGGTGGAACTCACTGTCATTGTTATCTACAGTGAAAAGCAGAAACTGGAAGCAAGAGGTGGCTTATGATGTCCATGTTTTGGTGAAAGCAAAATTAAGATGTATGGACTAATGGTGTAATGGGAAGAAGGAGCCCTTGCTATAATCAGACCACTGTGAGATAGAGAATGATCAGAAAAGCAACCAGGATTACATAGTTCAAATACATACATCTCAAGTTTAAACATGACATACATGACATTGTGTTCTTAAGATATATGAAAAATGTTTAAAATCAGTGACAGTCTCATGTGGCAGTCCATTACTGGATTATTGTAATTTTTACAAAATTTTACCTGTAAAATTTGGAATCTTTACATTTGGCATAACGTTCACTTGATTGTGATAAATGATGTGTTTTACCAAATGTAAACTAAGGCTAGAAAAGCTGTTTATGAAACTTCTTTTTTCTTTCAGCCACTTAAGCCCTAATTTGGGGAAACTAAATAAATACTTAATCTTAGAATTGCAAGCAATTTATATAGCAAACTTTGTCCTAAGTTACAACTTGAGGTTTGTCTTTTTTTTTTTAAATCACTTACATTTAGTTTATCAGTAGGAGTGTATTTAATAGTTGATCTTTAACTCTAAAAAATATACTTTTTGTTCTTGTAATACGCTGGTGGAGAAGCTTTCCACTTTGAACAATCCGAACACAGGTTTAGAAACTCTTGGCAGTCATACTTGGCTGAATTGTAAGCAGTGGGTTCTAAGTGAGGACTGTTTGGTAGAAGGGAGTAAGTGATTTTAATACATCTTCTCTCTTAAAATGGTATTTGTCTCACGAAATATTTTCTCAAGTAATTTTCTCCCCTCCATACTTTTTGCCTGCAGTTACTGAATTTTTTGTTTCAGCCCTCTGAAGTCAAAAGGAATTTACTTTTGGATCTTTAGTACGTTTAGAGAAGATATCTAAAATTCTTTAGCTTTTTGATAGGAAAAAGGGAGCTGAGATTTCTAAATATTTTTGCATGGTTTAAGTTTTTTGATCTAACGTTACGAACATTGCAGCTTCATACTTTCATTGTTTCTTTTGATAACTTGGAATACTTTGTGCCAGGTTCAATAGTTGAATTCTTAAGATCAATAGATTATTTCTGTAAGAAGGTTTTCAACACAAATCACTTAAAGTTGGCCTATTATAAAATTAGGATGAGACAGTTATAATCAAATGGGAAAATACAGAAAAATAAAATTGTTTTTGTAATGCCCTTCAACTTGAGTCTAAATAGGAGTACTAGCGATAACTTGCAACTCATTACTTTGTAAAAGAAAGAGGGTGTTGCCAGAGTATAAACTCCTAGTTTTAGGGGAGTTTTATTTTAAAAATGATTTTCTGTGCTTTAAAGGAATGAAAAAAATATCTTATCAGTTTAAGCAGTTTGGATTTAGAAATCTTCCCTTTCTTCCCCTCCCTACTCTTGGCTTTAAAAGGAATCTATATTCTTCAGTTTAATAAATTTATCTTTTTGTTGTTTTGTGTGAAAAAAATTAATTTTTCGAATGTGACTGCAAATAGTGCTCAATTGAATATATTTAAACTCAGTGTTACTATTTTTATAGATCATTTAAGTAAAATGGTTTTAATTTGTGAAAACTTCAGCCTCTGGTGAAAATTCAGTTAATTAGCTCTCTGACAGTAACTATAATACTGTCTTGACTTTTTGTGAAGGAAGTTACATTCAGCTCAGTTGGTTCTGAAGAAAACAGTAGGGAAATAGGTTATAGAAATTTTTGCTGTTCTAGAAACAGTATAACTAGAATGTACTACATACTTTTCTCAAAGGATTTCTTAATCTAAATGGAACTTGTAAATGGTTTTCATCCCACTGGAATAGCATGTATTGGATAAAACTTGTTTAACACATTCTGAGATTTTATAATATCTTATGTTACCTCAAAGATATTTGGAAAAATCTACAAATACTCATTTCTGAACAAAAGATGGCAATATCCTTAATATTTTAAAGATTGTAATATATACATTTTTTTTCTCAAAAGTTGAGAGTACACAAATTAAAAACTAGCATAATTTGCCCAGTTATTTTTGTGATGCAAGGAAAGATATCTTATGGGACTTTTCAATCATGGGTTTAGTGGTTTTCTAAAAGAACTTCACAGTTTTTAATCTTGTTATGTGGACTTCTTTATTAGAAAAGATTATGTGGTAAATGTCAACTTTTTAAACTATAATAGAATCAATTGGTTCTGTGACACATTTCTTTTCTTTTCTTTTTTTTTTTTTTGAGATGGAGTTTTGCTCTTGTTACCCAGGCTGGAGTGCAGTTGCGCGATCTTGGCTCACCACAACCTCTGTCTCCTGGGTTCAAGCAATTCTCCTTTCTCAGCCTCCTGAGTACCTGGGATTACAGACGCTCACCACCACATCCGGCTAATTTTTGTGTTTTTAGTAGAGAAGGGGTTTCACCATGTTAGCCAGGCTGGTCTCGAACTCCTGACCTTGTTATCCACCTGTCTCAGCCTCCCAAAGTGCTAGAATTACAGGCAAGAGCCACTGTGTCTGGCCTTAAGTATGGCTTCTTTATTCTTAAACTCAGTTTATACAGAAGGGTTGTCCTGTTTTAAGCTTTAATTGCTTTGGGTGATGGGCAGATGATATATTGTTTTTAGGATAAGTCTTGCTATTTGTTTAGGTGTGTATGTCAGATAACTGTTCAAAAACAATTTCTTTTAAAGTTATGACTATAAAATCTCACCTCTTGAGTATTTAAGGCAATTATGGAGTAGAATTTGAAATCAAAATAATCAAAATTGGCTTGTGTATATCTAAAACCGGTTTGGAAAAAATGTCAAGGCAAAAAGCAGTGTAATTAGAAGAATAAAATGCTTTCACTTGAAAATAGTAGATGTGTCCAGGCATGGTGGCTCACACCTATAATCCCAACAGTTTGGGAGGCCGAGGTAGGTGGATCACCTAACATCAGGAGTTGGAGACCAGCCTGGCCA